CTGTTGTCTGTTTATCTTCCTGTCAAAGGTGGTTCTCACCCCAGCAGTCAGAACTCTAGATAGAGATGAAATCATGTCACTCCCTTGCTTAAACCTTCCCCTCGAATCCCATGGGTCTCTTGTTGCTCACATGCAGTGTCCTGACTTTCTTGTTCTCTGCAGACGTAGAGTGCTCCTGCCAACCCCTGTGCCTTCTGCTGGGCACGCAGGCCTGTTACTTGGCCCCACTCAGGTCCCTGCTTTGGGTCACCTCCCCAGAGAAGCCCTCCCTGACCATTCCTCACTTCTCTTAGAAGTGATCCTAGCCTGTAACATTATTCCTGTGGTAACCATCCTGATTCACTGTCTCTCTGAACACACCGGAACACTCACTTTGTGAGGATGGCACCCTGCTTGTCCTGTTCCTGGCCATAGCCTTTAAGAGTGGGCCAGGGCAGGAGGATTCTTCCAGAAAGAGTCATGACATCAGGAATCACCCTCACACACCACCTGAGCCTTGCAGACCTGAAGAGCCCCTGGGGAATCCCAAGTAGGGACTGGTGTGGCAGAGGGTCTGCTGTGTCTTGCAGGCATGTGACATCACTGGAGGACTGTACCTGAAGGTGCCTCAGATGCCGTCACTTCTGCAGTATTTACTGGTAATGAACTAGCTGTGTCACCATGTGGTGGGGCCTGACGGTGAAAGCAGTGGGCAGGTGTGAGCAGCGGGGGAGGCTGGGCTTCGGTCCTCTCAGAACTGCGTACAGAACACCATATGACTGTTTATAACAGTCCGAAGCCATGGTTGAATGGATGCTCTGTTCTAATTTCTGGTATTCTTTGCCCTTGTTTTGTTTTTTTTGTTTATTTTTAGTTGTACTTTTTTATAGGTTGTGGTGCTTGAATTCAATACCTGGGTGCTACCCCTCATCTCTTTTGCTCAAGGCTAGCACTCTACCACTTTGAGCCATAGCTTGACTTCTGGTTTTCTGGTGGTTAATTGGAGATAAGAATCTCATGGGGACTTTTCTGTCTGGGCTGGCTCCGAATCATAATCCTCAGGTCTCAGCCTCCTGAGTAGCTAGGATTTTAGGTGTGAGCCACCAGTGCCCAGCTACCCTTATTTACCCTTGTTTTAAATAGAAGTTCCCTTGCCTCTAGAAAAAAAGTTGGGCCAGGTGCTGGTACCTCATGCCTGTAATCCTAGCTACTCTAGAGGCTGAGATCTGAGGATCACAGTTCAAAGCTAGGTCGGGCTGGAAAGACTCTTTTTTTTTTTTTTTTTGTCTTTTCTTTTTTTTGGTACTGGGGATCGAACCCAGGATGTTGCACTTGCTAGGCAAGTGCTTTGCCACCGAGCTACATACCAGCCCTGGAAAGACTCTTCTCTCCAATAAACCACTCAGAAAACCGGAAGTGGTGCTGTGGCTCAAGTGGTAGAGCGCTAGCCTTGAGCTGAAGAGCTGAGGAACAGCGCCCAGGCCCAGAGTTCAAGCCCCACAACTGACAAAATTTTTTTTTTTTGTTCCACAGAGGGAGGGTTCATTGTTGCATCTCCACCTGTTGTATTATGCTCCTATCTCATCTGCATTACTTTTTTTTTTCTTACAGTGGGTTTTTCTTCCTGATCAGGACCAGAGATCTCAGTTAATCCTTCCACCCCCAATTCACGTGGATTACAGGGCTGCTTGCTTCTGCCATCGGAATCTCATTGAAATTGGTTATGTCTGTTCTGTGTGTCTGTCAAGTAAGTCAGTGTGTTGGTTTCCTTGTTTCTATGGTGGGGTAGGGGAAGAAAATCTCCACTCTGCTCTTTAAACACTCCTGGCTTTGTTTTTTTATTTTATAGTTTTCTGCAACTTCAGCCCCATCTGCACCACGTGTGAGTAAGTATCAGGTGTGAGTAAGTATCAGGTGTGCGAGTGGCTCACACTTTGTAGACCTAGAGCACTAACACATATGCTCTGTCATTTCAGGACAGCCTTTAAGATTTCTCTTCCTCCTGTACTGAAGGCCAAGAAAAAGAAACAGAAAACGTCCACGTGACTGAGAAACAACAAGTACAGTGCAGATGTCATGGCTTAAGGCCATGCACAGGTGTTATGGGGTCAGATCTCCTTGGGATCTCTGAAAAATCGGTTATGTATAGAATAATTTCTTGAAAAACTTATCCTGTGTTTCTTGAGGCTCCTTTCTCAAGGGCATCCTATGCAGTACGTCTTGAAACCTCCCCTGGTTAGTGTTTGTACAGAAATGGGGTTAAAGCACAAATTTGATGAATTTAAGGTAGCAGTCAGTTGTATAGCAGAAGCCAACTGATGACTTTGGCTTTGCTGGTGCTGGGATTGGCAGAGGGCCTGCTTTGTGCTTGGCTGGCAGGCAGGCAGGCAGGCAACCCACTGCTGAGCTTCAACAACCAGCCCGTTTATTGTTTTGTTTTAAGTATATTCGCAAAAGTACATTTGTGCAAATACATTTAAGTTTTCTCTTTAGACCATCTTAGAAGGTGAATTTTATTTAAATAATTTGGTATCTGGTTGGTAATTTCTAGTAGATTTTGTATTCTGCATTTGCAGGATTTTTAATAAGTATACAAGTATTTTGGTGATCACGTTGCAATTATTTGTTAATCCTTGAGATTGAGAATCACTTTGTCCTTTAAAAAACATTGACTAGGGGCTTGGGGGCATGGCTCAAGTGGTAGAATGTTGTTGAGCAAGCATAAGGCCCTGAGTACCAACAGAAAAATAAAGTAAAAGGATTTACTGTTTCACAGACTGAAGGTAATGAATAAGTATTTTAAGTCTAGGAATGTTTTATAGATAAGAAGATGAATAATCTTTGAGACAAGCTGACAAGGCTTTGGTATTTTTCATTTGAAATGTTTTATATTCTTGGTTCTGTTCAAGTCTTATTTTTAACGTTTATGATGTATTTTATATAAATTTGCTAATAAAATAAAATTTCATATTTGGCTGAATTATTTCCTCTTATTCATTGTTTATCTTAGGCATATATCTTCACACACACACATTTTTTTTTTTTTGGTCATTTGTGGCACTTGAACTAAGGGCCTGGGTATTGTCTGTGACCTCTTTTGCTCAAGGCACGAGCTCTACCACTTTGAGCCACAGATTTACTTCTGGTTTTTGTGTAGTTAATTGGAAATAAGATTCTCACAGGAGCTTTTCTGCTGGCCTGGCTTCTAATGGCAATCCTCAGATCTCAGCCTCCTGAGTAGCTAGGATGACAGGCGGGAGCCTTTAGCTCTTAACTGGTATGTTTGGCTTTTTTTCCTTGTAGTTTTCCAGGTTCATCCCCATGTCTGGCTTCTTTGTAGAATCCAACAGGTGGAGCTACTTTGGAACATTCTCTCCAGCTAGTCAGAAGGCCAGCTAGTGTTCTGGTGTTAAGACTTTAAAGGTCCACACTCCATCTCCTACCTGGCTAGTAGTGTCAGTTTCTCAGGAGTTAAATCATCCAGTCATCCCTGGAGAGGCACTAGTCCTAAACTAGAGCCATAAGCAAACTCCACAAGTTATGAAACACTTTCTTTGTATTTTCTCTCTCTCTTTTTTGGTCACGGGGCTTGAACTTGGCCAAGGCACTGTCCCTGAGCTCTTTTTGCTCAAGGATAGCATTCTACCACTGAACCACAGCTCTGGTTTGGGTTTTTGAGTGGTTAATTGGAGATAAGAACCTCATAGGGACTTTCCTGCCCAGGCTGGCTTTGAACTTCAATCCTCAGGTCTTAGCCTCCTGAATAGGATTACAAGTGTGAACCATTGTCACCCGGCTCTTCTAATTATTTATCTTTTTTTTGGGGGGGGGGTGCCTGAACTCGGCCTGGGCACTGTCCCTCAGCTCTTCAACTCAAGGCTAGCACTCTACCACTTGAGCCACAGCGCCACTTTCGACTTTTTTCTTTTTGCTTATATGGTGCTGAGGAATCGAACCCAGGGCTCATGCAAGGCCAAGCACTCTACCACTGAGCCACCTTCCCAGCCCTCTTCGAATTATAGGGAAGAAAATTTGTGGAAGGCAGGAATAGGGCAGAAGTTGGATATTTAGAAATGTTTACTTTTCAGACATTTTATTTTCTAGGCTTTGGAGTTGGCTATGCTGACTTAATTTGTAGACTTAATACCCTAAAGATAGATGGGGAGCACCAAGTATTTAAATCTTGCCTCCTAGAAATGTTTCTTGAAGCTTTAGTCCTGGATACTGAGAATCACTACAGTCCTCTAGAAAGGAGTCGAGGTGCAGGGAAAAACTGAATGTCACTCATTGTTTTAACTATAGCAATCTGAGATTTGCAAGAGTAAGAAACAACCATTACAAGGCCATAACTTTCAGAATAAAAGATGTATTGATCGATTAACGTTATTATTCTTAAGTTATGAAGTTATCCGTGTAGCCAGGCACAGTGGCTCCTGCCTGCAGTCCTAGCTGCCCGGGAGGCTGAGTTTCTACATCTTCCTGGGGGCGACCAGGAAACCCGTTTCTCCTTACTTTGACCTAGAAAGTACATCTGGAAAAACTAGGCTTGCGGGGCGGGGCCGAGGTGCTCCGGCCTTGGCCGGGGGCGGGCTTTCTTGCCTGTGGACCAATCGCGGCGCGCCGCTCCTCAGGTCGGATGCCGATTAGTGGTTGCCAAGGCTGCGGGCGTTCGCTTGGCAAGATGGCGGCGGCAGGGCGGCGGCGCGGGCCGCCTTCTCCCCCGTGAGGCCGCGTCGCTCCCGGGGCCCGCGCGCGGTTGAAGGCATGGGCTTCCCGCCGGCCTC